ACTACCACACACGCACACACACACACACACACACACACACACACACACACACACACACACACACACACACACACACAAACACACTCCCTTACTTTAGGACGGCCTCATCCTTCGCCTCCTCCTCCCGCTGCCGAGCCAGAACAGCCATGATGATGCTCCTCTCCTCCTCCGTCAGATGGCTCAGGTCCGGTTCCGGGATGGCCGGGGCCACGGGGGGGCGCGCGCCACCCCGAGGGCCCACCGAAGCGAACATCTTCCCTGCCACCCCCACTTTCCTCTCCCCCCCACCTCTCGCTGTGCTCACGGACAGAAAAGCCGCTGGAGGAGCCCACGGATCACGACATGTTCCACGGGTGGAGTTTCCATGGCGGTGGGAGGGAGGAGGGGGGGCACCCTGCTGCAGCAGCTGGATGTGGCCTTAGCGCTTCGGTTCCTTCAGTTCCTGCTCTGCCAGCCTTGCCCCCCCGCCTGCTGCTCCGCTGTCTTCTCCCCCCACCCCCCTCCCCACCGCCTCCGTCTTACGGGGAGTCCATTCCTCCAGCGGTCAGTCGGGATGATGGGGTTTCGGTTCCGTCCTGGTGGGCCGGCAGACCGGAGGGAGGGGGGTGGGGGTCCCTGGGGGCAGCTTCGGGGAGGGGGTCGGGGGTGGGGGATGTCTCGGTTCGGTCCGCTGGCTGCGGGGCGAGGCGGTACCGACTTGTTTTCCAGCCGCCTGATGCTGCTGTCAGGGAGACCGAACCGTCAATGGACCGCAGCCCCTCGAGCGCGCTCACAACTGATGCGGGAGCGCGCAGCCCTCATTTCAGAATGGGGGCTGCGTGCGAGTAACGTCACGATGCGCGCTCCGGACGCTCTGTTGCACGCACATGAAATGCGGGTTCTGCAGGAGTCCACTGAGGGTTCTGGAGCGAATCACGTCCAAACAAACACGTTTAATAAGACTTTAATGTTTTATTGACTTCAGCTCGTTTTTAATAATAATTCAACAGTTTCACTGAAGAACCATTTTATTTCCAGTCAGTGAGACTTCAAGCAGAGGAGTAAACACAACTCAGAGTGGAAAAGAAGAAATTAATCATTTAGCTTATTATGTTTATCATTACACACATGATGGAACAACTGAAGGTCCAAAGAACCAGGAAACCTTTGGCACTGAGTGTTTGGACACCCAGCCCCATTGCGTGTTGGAATGACGCGCATCCCGCTTCTTCCTTCTGTCACTCCTCTCCTCCTCTCTCTCTCTCCATCCTTTCAGCATCACTTCTCAAAAGTGAGTTTGTTGGCTCCACCACATGGAACCATGATGGTGGACACAGAAACTCGAGGAGAAGCAGTCGCAGCACCGATGGTTGTAAAACCATCAGTTTTAGAAATCAGGGCTACAGGTCACGTGATCACTTCAGTGCTGCAACTTCCTCCACGTGCAGCCTGTGTGGAGGTCTTTCAGGTGAAGGACCAGAACATGCTCTGTGGAATTTTGGCAGGAAAAACAAAATTTGAGCAAATAATGTATTTTATAATTGATATAAAATTCGTGCTTTATCAGCTAAAACTGTTTGAAATGTTTCAGGTTAAAGTGCAGCTTCTGTAGTAAAGCAGCATCATCACATCTCCACTTTGCTCAAAGTCCTGCAGCTGCACAATGACGGACAGGTGTGGGCTAGAACAAAAGACCACAGCAATCATATGTACTACTAAAAGATCAACCATGGAGCATCCATCCATCATCCATCCATCCATCATCCATCCATCCATCCATCCATCTATCCATCATCCATCCATCCATCCATCATCCATCCATCCATCATCCATCCATCATCCATCCATCCATCATCCATCCATCCATCATCCATCCATCCATCATCCATCCATCTATCATCCATCCTTCCATCCATCCATCCTTCCATCCATCCATCCATCATCCATCCATTCATCCATCCATCCATCATCCATCCATCCATCATCCATCCATCCATCATCCATCCATCCTTCATCCATCCATCCATCA